CTGCTGGATGGATATATGTTCTACCACATTTGTGCCTGTCCAGCAGTGTACCCTCACTTTGCCACTTACTGATTTTTTCTGGGTAAAGAAGCAGGAGATATTTCTGGTGCTAAGCACACTTTGTGACTAATGAGGCTCAGGTCCCCGACGAGTGGCAGGTCTGGGATGAACAGCCAGAAAATAACACAATGAAATCAGCACGAACAGAAATGCAGATGGAACTGCACTGTTTAACATTATTAGTGCATGTTCTTAGTTTGGGTGTTACTTGGAGAACAGTTATCAAATCTGGGCCCTAAAAAGCAATCAGCATCTTAAACTCCTTACGGGAGAGTCTCCAGTTCAGACACAGGGTGGTTCTTTGCTACATGTCTCCCCGAAAACCATGGTGGAACAGGATCCTAAATACGATCTTGCCACTAGCACAGGGTAGACACTGTCTTTGGAGAGCAGCTCTTCATTGCCATTTCTCCAAGATTTTCATCCCACCTGTCCCAGATGATAGATCTTGGGTCACAGTGGGAGCTGACCACTATACATCTGTCTCACCTAAGTGGTAAGCGCATCCATTGTGCTTCATTTCTTCTGTAACTACCCAAAACCTTCCACACCACAATGACTTTCCAAGGTCTTCCCTGGAAAGACTGAACAGAGGTTTTGTGTGTTTAAGAGACAGGTCTGGGTCAAGCAGGCTCAAGTCTATATGAACAATACAGAGCAGGTTTCCAACCCACGTAGTTCTCATTGTGGGCAAAAAAAGACCAAATTGACATCTTCCCTGCCTTAAAACCAGCTGCTCAGCTACAATTAGTCTGTCTGACCTCTATGCTCCCTCTTGTCCACCTAAAGCCTTCCAGATGAGATTCTTGTTGGTATGAGACCATCTCTGCAAAATGTTACAGCTTGCTTTTTTTTTTTTTCCCTGAAATAAAATTTCAGCAAAAAAGTAATCCTTCCAACCAGCTTAATTATGACTAAAAATCCAAACAATCTATTATACATACATGTATATAGATATAGATATATATGAAATCTGCTTCTAAAACAATAGCATATGTTAACACTTGTGAATGCAGTGTGATTTCACTTCACCCTTTCAGATTTGATTCCTCCGGGTCTGATGCAATGCCTTTTCACTCCTGACTATTCCCAGCTGCTGAAATGGCCTTTGGGAGCACAGGCTTCCTGAGAGCTATTCTACCTCTCACAAGATCTGAACCAGGCACACATCAAGAGAAAATTCTAAAGCTAAAAAATAAAAGAACTGGAGAGAATCAGCCTGCTTTTGTAACTCCACGTAGCACAGAGCTGCCCACACAGGCTGAAGCGGGTGTTTTTGTCTTCCAGCTGCAGAGTTAGGGAGCGATGAATTAGGTCACAGCTGGAACCCTTTTTCTTTGCAAACATATAGCCAACAATGTAACTAAAACAGAACAGCCCTCTTTCACCAATAAGACAGATCCATCAATTTTGTAGTCATGACCGTCCTGTCAGAACTGTGCAGCAATACCAACATTCAGCAGGTCAGAGATTCAACCAGTGATTCCTGTGTCAGGCCCGTGGTTTCCAGATTAGATGAAGGCTACACCTCAAGAGGAGTCGAAATTTCATGTAAATTTCATGCTCATAAAAAAGACACCAGAATATTGCTCCCTTTGGGTAAATAGCCTAAGCGTGGAAGGCAGATGCAACTGCTAAGTCTCACAAATTGAATACACTTCAGGAACAAGGATGAAAACTACATTAATAGTCTGATAATTTAGGTATCCAAAATGCTGTGTGTCAGTGTAATGTCTAGTCAGCACAGTTTTGAAATACTTTAGATTAAAAGCTCAAATGTGGTTGTGCCCCCCGCTTTGGCTGTGGGAGGCTGAAACCCCAGCTCTGCAGCCACAGAACAGACTGAAGTTCAGGTGCCATTTTGATCTGAAAAAAGCATATTTGAAGATACTCACATAGGCTTGGTTCCTTTAATTATGCAAAAAAATGGCACTCATATTCACTGTCACAGGCATGTATTAACTATAGGTTAGTGGAGGTCTTCTTTAGGTTAAGCTTCACAAGAGAAAAACTAGTCTGGAAATAGAATTATCAGAACTTTCCAGTCTATCTAAAAATTATGATTTCTTGCAATTTTGAAGAGCCTACAGCACATTATATGGGTGCTTGTGTATCTGGTAATGTATGCTAAAAGATGCTTAGCTTTCTAAATAAGTAAATAAGTCACATAATAAAGATAATGTATATAATTTATGGTGGGTTTTTTTTTTTTTGTAACACCAACTGATTGCAAAGAAAACACAGTTATCAACAGGGATGACAGAGAGCTAGCACTGAACGCTACCGCACTGTTAGTTGCACTGCACTGTCACTCTTTCTTAAAAGGCTAATATAACCTTTTGTGTCTTTTGCCATATATAGGTCCAATAGCTAAATCACACACACACACACAAAATTTAAAAAACTTCCAGTATTTTTAGAAACCCACTAGATTTAAGATTACTGGTAGAGCAAATCTATAGCATAGAAGATTGTGTCTGTCTTGGAGAACAGAGACATTTGACAATGTATTTGTTCCTGCCAGAAACAGCGTAAGAAATGTACTTGAAACTGGTTTTAATTGTTGCTGGTTTCCACAAATCTCTTTCTGACAGTGGCCGTCTTGTTAAAATAAAGGCTCACTCATGAACATTTCTGAGAGTTAGCCCACTGTGAGAAGCTGCAACCAAATTTCCAGACCATCTGAGGATGTGGTTAAAAGGCAAAAGCTACGGGAGTTCTGTCAGCCTTCCAAGGGAGTAGGTGAGTCTGTGGCTCTTCTTTGGTCAGGGCTTAACAGATTGTACCTAGCCACAAGCTAGGTGGATCCACGCTTCAGGATGGATGTCAGGATCATTTTGATCCTACAGAGTGCTGGCTGGAGTAGAATCAACCCAGAGAAAAATTTGTGGTGATGCTCAGTTTAGTTTAAAGAATCCCAGCAGGATTAAATTCAACCCCTTGAACGTTTGCAGTGGCAAACAGTCACCGTATATAGAGTGCAAAAGCAAGCATTTGGGTGTATTTGGATGTTACCTTCCAAATCAGACCTTTAGCTCTAGCTGCGAATGGAGTGCTGTTATTGAAAGAAAAAAAAAAAAAAAAAAAAACATTAAATCAAGGGCCGTTTCTCGTAAGGAGAGCCAAGCCTTCACCTTGGAAAAGGGTGGAGTGGATTTTGTGCCTACCCAGCAACACACCCAGGGTAGCCCACGCCGGTGGGGGGGGAGAAGGTTCAGGCAGTTGAGGCTGCGGGGTGAGGGCAATGCCTCCCCTGCGCCGGGAATGTCAGCCCCGCTTTCCTGAGCTCCGCCTGCAGTATCTAGAGGAAAGCAGGCTCGCATTGTCTTCCACCGCTGGCCCCAGGAAACATGATATCATTCTCAAACAAAAGCGGGAAAGCTGACAGATCTATGGAGATGGGTGTGACTGCAGCACACACCTCGCCGCTCGGCCCCTGTGGAAAAGGCAGTGACCGGCAGCTCTTCAGGACTTGGCTGTCTGCACCCTCCACCCCTGCGGCTCATCTCCCCAGATGGGCTTGTTGCTCCCCTACCTGTGACTTAATGAACGTCGCTGCCTTTCTCTGTCAACCCCAGTACATGTTACCAAGTAGAGAAACAGCAAAGACCCGGGGTGACTGGGCTTTCTTGTATTCTGTATCCCTAGTGCTGACAGCACGCCGGGTCTCTCCCTAAAGTGAAAAGCTGGAAACTATCTGAGGGCTAAATGGTCTGAATCAATGTGCAGCTAAGCAATCAAGAAAATTAAGCCACAAAAGAGGAATTGGTAAACAATACATAGCCTATTACAGCAACGGTTAGATAAGAACACACAGTCAACAGATTTTAAACACATCTTTGCCTGTATTAATCTCTAGCCTTTTATAGATGCCAAAAGTAACATCTCAAACTCATCTGTTCACAATTTGACTTAGCTATTAATACGCTGTTAAGCAAGAAGATCTGGAAATTGTAAATTAAGTTACATGGCAACAAAGACTTCTGCCTCTTCTTGCTACTTTCTGGTTTTCATTGCAGCACATCTGCTGTGTTACAGCACATTACCTTTCTATCATGAGATGGACTGTAACAGCCTAGGCATATCTCAGTGAAATGGAGTGAGCTAAGAGTCTAAGCTTATTGTGTGAGTTGTATTTCTCTGTAACAGATTTTGCTTGGTTTGGATGGTGAAAGCAATACTCAAAAGCTGAGCAACTATGAATCTGATGGGAAGAGTGCAGGCTTCCCCAGGGGTCTGCTTGCAATAGCTTCAGCAAAGCATCTCGAACATTAATGCTCTGACTACTATTAACTAAATTTGCATTAATAGAATCTTTTTGTATACATTTCTGCAGATGTCTCATATAACTTTTGACTTGCTGAACTAATGACATTTGCTGATATCACCTTATATAATGTGCATTATTCTGTCCTTTTTGTCGACTGACTTTCAGCTAGATTGCAGTTGTGGAATCCTGTCTAAAAACTTGTCTAAAATACCTGTCTGGTATACCTAGAAACATCAACATTTCTTACTGCTCAGACAGGTCATACAGTCAGTCACAGAAAAAGTCAACGTTTAATCTGTATTTCGAGCAGATATTCTTGGGGAAAGACATCAATGGTTTCGTAGTAACGAGCTTTATGAAAAGGTTAGTAACGTGAGACAGAGGAGAAACCCTGTTGTAGTGTGTGTATGTGTCAACAAATGACTTCAACAATTAAAAAGAGGTAGCAGCAGATTCTACATGTAGCTAAATCCTTCCCAGTAACTTGGCCACAGTCCTGCCCTCACTCGCCCTGAGAGCGCTGCACAGAGATAAGTAGTCTCACTGAAACAAACACAAGTACTCAAATTGATAAAGTAAGGAGCAGAGAGCTGTGAGTTTTGTCTGCACGTTGTGTGAGAAACAAGAAAGGCATGACAGGTCAACGACAGGTATTAAAGCAAAGGCTTACCTGAAATCATCAGGCTGAATCCATAGAGAACTAGACGTGCTAAGGGGTCCATGCTTTCCAAAATTTATCCATCCAGTTCTTACAGCCGCTCATGGAGTATCCTTTTCTGGGGGCAGACGTTTACCAGTTACTCTTCTTCTGCATGGTACGCTGTTTACAAGTCGCAGGCAAGAAATCTCAGCGCTGGAGCAGGCTGGAACAGTCTCATTGCTGTCTGAGTACAGGGAGTTTAAGTTCCTTTTTCCTGTTTCCTTTGTAGATTAGGATGGGAAAGGCAGGATCTTAAAGGCATTTTGTATCAGCGGGACTGCAGGGCAGTGCAAATCCTGTCCATCCAGCAATACATCAAAACAGTTATCTGGAGCTGCTGGAGAGGCAGGGGACTGCTGTCGGTCACAGTCAGCAAAATAGGAACAATGATGGCATCCTCCAGCAGGCGGGAGGGCACGGGTAAACAGTCCTCCACCTAGGTGAAAAGTCTCATCCCCTTCTCCAAGTGCAGATCTGCTAACTTCTCAGGGCGCTACCGTCCTTTCCCTTATTTATTTTACCCACTTGTAAGCTGCTGACTCTAACGCCTCTCAGCACACAATAATAAATATATGAAGTAAACAGTAACAAAACCACTAGCCGAATCCAGTACAGACCAAAGCCAGCCACAATCCAGCACACCACTCCGTTAGTTCATGTGCTCTACTGGAAACAATTTTTCTCTGCATTTGGCAATTGGAAACAGACTGAAAACTTGTTGTAATAATAAATCACACCGGGAGTTATTATATGACTTCAGTGGGATCAAAATGCCACACCGCTTGGGGGGGGGGGGTGTCTCAAAAATCAGAAGCTAAAACAAAGCATGAGGAAAAAATACAAAAATTACCACAAAAAAACCAAGAAAGAAATAAATGGAAAAGTACATTCAGATATATAAACAGAATTGCAAATAAAGGGCAATCTTATTTACCACTTGACTAAATATAACCTAAAACAATGTGGCATTTGAAAGTCCAGTAGTTCTGCCAAGATGCTAACACCCGGAATGACTTTTACGGAAGTAGAAAAGCAAATGTTCAGCATCATTTTGGAAATGTGGTATGGGTGGATACTAATTTGATTTAATTTCCTTAGAAAGACCTTTTAGCCTTTGATTGGTGCAGATTTCACAGAGGAAGTCCTTTATACCCAAGATCTTTTGCCATATGGACGGAACCGTGTCACCTACAGCAGATTTCAATATATTAAGCCAGAGCTGCTGCTTACCTGCTGCCGCTCCCCTTCCCCCCCACAAAATATAACTGAAAGTGAACCAAGTAGGAACATAAACTGGAAATACCCTATGGGTGCAAAACACAATCTGAGGTCCAAACACTACTGAAATTCCCTTTTGAGGCTTAAAGGAGGCAGAATGTAAGATATTTACCTGGTCTGGTTCTAGACAAAAATACACACATATATTTTGTCCATCTTTGATTTTTGAGAACATTTTCTTCTACTCTTAGACATGAAGAGGCAGTGATTATCCACATGGCATGAGAGCCTGGTATAGGCCCCTCCAGTATCAGAACACTTAGTGTATCACCAGATACTAAGTATTATCATAGCTCCTATTTAGTGGATAATTCTGTTCTGTTGCTCATTTAGCCTGCTTCTAACATGTCCTATCATTAATATTTTTTTGTAGTGTCTTTTGGTTTGCTGAGGGGTGGGAAGTTAAACAAATTCAGTTAAAACTGTGGTTCTCTAGATGGCTATTATGAGCTTAGAGGGGTTTTTAAAATTCTCACTTAGATCTCACTCCCCAGGGCTAAACAGGTCACTGAGGAGAAACGCATCATCTCCATTTTTAATGCACTTAAATGCAAAGCAATGCCTATGGCCTGCTGCCGATACTGATTTTGCAGTAAACGTAATTGGCCAGGTCAGTTACTCACTGTTTTTCGAATAATCAACTTGTTCCTGCTGACCATTTTATCTGCTGTGATGAGGGAGATATCTCCAGGATGAGGTCAGGCAGCTTAAATAGGCAATACTCCATAAATACAAGAAGGCTGCAAAGACTTGCTGAAGCCCAAAGAGAGGAAATACTTAGGCAAGTCAGAATTTGGTTAGGATACTAGCCTCAGCAGGCTCATGTATTTGTTTTGTGTTCCATTATATAATTTAATTTTTGAAGCAATAAAGCATAACATCTATGATTCAGCAAACATCTAAGTACTTGTTTATGTGTAGTAAGTGTTTAAGTGTAGATCTGTTTCTATTTGGAAGGTGTTTAAGTGCTGCAGTTTGATTATTGCTCCCACTGATGTCAAAATTATTCATACAGTAAGATTTTGCAAGACTGTGGAATTTAAAATATTTCACTATTCTAGCTTACTGCTCTTCTTACCTAAGTGTCTGCCAGCCTTACCTTCTATATTTTCATGCCTATATTTCACGTTATTGGAATATGAGTCTTCCTAAAAGTAGGTCATATCAGTTTTCTGTTCTATGATCTAAAAACTGTATGATTTGATCATCCCTCTGACTACCGAACAACACAGAAGTGCAGTAGAATTATCTATCCCTTCCACCAAGCAGCAATGATATCATAGCAGGATCCCATGCACCAGCCCATCTCTTGCTATCCAATCTTCAACTTAAGTTGATGGATCTACAAATAAGAGGATCCTAAATCTCAGCCTGCATTCGCTATTAAAGCGCAGGAGAATTGGAAATAGCCATCTGGCAAAACCATGTTGCCAGTGAAAGAAACTGGGCTAAAAATGAGGATGGCAAGAAGAGTAAAATATGACACCAAATCACTCTAGCTTTTCTTACACGTGAGACTAGTAGAGGCTGTTGACTACTGGGCTGGCAAACGAGCATGCCCATGGCACACCCTCAGGCGGGTATGTAGCTGTAGACCTGTAGATTGCACCCTTGGTCTTTTCTAAAGGTACTTGGGAAGACTCAGAAAGGCTGTCCAAGCCCATGCAATTTCTAAAGTGTTCCCCTCAGGAACATCAGTTTAATTGTTAGTTAAGTGCTGATTAATACATATCAGCATTCACATTTAACTTAACACCCATCACAATGGTGTGCATGAGTTTTTAAATTAGTTACAGCAGAGAAACAAATTGTCTTTCAACATGAAAATATAACCTTAGCATTAAACATGGTTTTTCATAACTCTGTTTGCTGAAGGCTAATTTTATGATATGTCAAGTGCCCTGAACTCCTGACACCAGGCTTTCCTCTTTAGATAAGCAGCATGCTTGTCTCAAGGACAATCCATTCATACATGCTGTAGTGCATGGAAATATGCGAGGAGGAAAAATAAACAATGCCACTGCACTCTTTTAATCAGGTAGATGTGTTAGCAGAAAGCACATATCCTCTTGCAGTGTCTGGCTGTATTATGCTTTTTGGAAGCAAGCCATTACTTTGGCCTTGACATGATGTTAATATGTGTTAGTTGGAGGCAGCAGAGGAACTTTAGGAATTATTAATCACTGCAATCAGCTAATGTGAAGCAGAGGCTCAGACGTGCTAGAGCTTAAACTTCTTTTCTTAAACTGACCTTTTGTCCCCTACAGAACAGCCTATGCCACTGAGGCAAACCACAGCCCCTACGCCATTTATGTTGGATCACCTGGAAGTGAGAGGTAGTAGCCAGGTGGCCAGTCAGAGGACACGTACTGCTGCTGGTCTAAGCAGTCAGGATGAGGACTATCCCTGTGCAACGCAGCAGCAGCGTAGAAACTCGAAGGAGACAAGGGTTTATGCTGTACAGAGTGAAGATAAGTCATTCTAACATGGAAAGGACAGTGTGGGGAAGTGGTGATACTGTAATAGGTGGTTGTGAGAAACTCTCAGGTGGGGTAGGAAAAGTGACAGATTCTGGGTTCGGTTGCAGCTCATTCTCTTGGCTTGGCAGCCCATTCTGAGGAGGTGCAGTCACTTCTTGCTTTCCCTACTGCCTCTCCTGCGTATGGATACTCAAAAGGTAACTCCAAATTGCAAACATAGCTATGATCAGGTGTTTCGCTCAGTGTTTTTATTTTCTTCTCACAAAAAAAGAGCTTCTCTTGGATTTTCAGGAGACCATAGTCTGGAAAAATTCATTCTTAAAATCCTATTCGCAGGACCATCTATCTTCTGCTGAATTAATCTCGCACTGTTAATGTGCTTTGAATTGTAATTTTTATTTGATGACTGCATTGTTTAACTTTATTTAATTTAAACCAGCATTCAGAAAGTGCAGCTTAGTGACAAATTTGCTATCTACCTGGCTCTGCTTCCAAATTTATGTTGCACTGGGCTAAAGTCTTGATGTAGGAGAGCCACATGTGCACTGTTGGTGAGCTGCAGTGTAACAGTTCCTTCTCTTGAACACCCCAGCTTTAACTTCAGTCTTCTCCCTGTGAAAGAACAATTTCTGAATGGCAATATAATGTAATAAACCAATACAATTTTAGCCATTCTTGAAATGTGGAAATGTGAAAGATAGGCACATCTCATCCCAAGGTGAGAAGTTAAAACGTAAGTTTGCGTATAGGTAAAGGACTTCAGTAACTTTCAATTCAATAACCCTAAAAAATATTAAATATAGTGAACTTGAATACAAGTGCAAGCCATTAAACACCGTCTTTTCATTTCATTTGGAAGAAAGAGAAGAAACAGGAAGGATACTGAAAATTTCAAGGCTCTATTTGGAATTTTGTCTCTCGTACATAACTGGTAATTTCTGCTATAATAATTATTTTGTTTCTTTTTAATTTTCAGAGGTGCTGAGTCCCCCTCACCTCACTTGAAATAGTATTTGTGAGCAAACTCGTGTTGTATGCTGGAGACAGAGGTTGTGCACCTTTACTCATCCTTTGCTGCACAGCAGAAATCCTGGGCCTGATCCAAAGATACTGTTGCTCAGTGAATCGAGCTCAGTCACTTTAAATGAATGTGACTTTCAAGGAATTAGTTTTACAAGAGGAAACAAGAGCGGATAATTTTATATTTCTGGCTCATTTTTTTAAAAAATGTGGGAGGCTTCCTCCATTTCACACATTTGGCATGTTGTCCAGTTAGTCCTCCTTCCTGAGAGCATAACCTGCAAGCATAGACCACGAGTCAGGGCAGGGAACACGTTTTCCTCTGCTCCAGACTTCTGCCAATCCCAATGGATGATTGATTAAAGCTGGGATTTGAATTCAGTTCAAATTTCATAACTCTACGGTTATGAAATGCTTAAAGGCTTCCTTCTTTTTTTGCGAAAGAAGAATAAGATGACAACTGTTCTGTTTGAGAGTGATTCCATTCCCCTTCCCAGTGATTAACCTGCATTCCACATTCCGGATGGAGTTGTCACC